ATTTGAGATTAGGTCGTACCTATATCCGACAAGAGTCCCGCTCACTCATCAATTCATTAGAAAACGCGCAAGTATAGCACTACGTGCAAATTGTTGGGGGAAATTGTGTGAATATGTTATGCTCGATCCTTTTGCTTGTAGACCCCTGTCTCCGTCAGTTTGCTAATATTTCCATGCTCATAGGTCATGCGTTTTCTAAACATTATCTTAACCAACGATCTGGCTCCTAGCGAAGCTCTAAGCCTTCACCCTAATCCACCTCTGTCCTTCGAAGATCGTTGTGGCAAAGATATATATATTGGTATGGTATCTATTAAGCATTTTCCGTGTCGTTCCCAAATCCACGTGTCGTAGTGCGTCATTCAATCTCATTTCTACGGTCAACGTGAATTCCTGATAACGAAATAATCGTCGACCGAAAACGAATTGTCGCATATTGTTCGTTAATCAATCGCCTCGGCGGCATACGTCTCAATCACGTTATTGCCGACAGCCCAATTTTTGCTTTTTTTTTTTTTATTGCGATGATTGTGGTCATCATGAAGTCGAAGGAAGTCCCGGGGTTCCTTGGCTACGATGCTGTATACGACAGAGCTATGGGTGCATGACATTTGCATACTGTTTTGCCTACTCCTATATACTTGTATCTATGATGCACAAGGCAGGGGTTGATTTACGGGGCTGACTGTGGGATTCCCCCAGGGCCCCACACCGTCTCTTTGTCTCTTATCAAGCGAAAATCTTTCTCCTAATAGCATGTCCCTATGCATACTACCCATTCTCTGATAGCTTGACTTCATCTACTGGACTTCGTTATCTCCACATCCTATCCCTTATTCGCCCCAGTAGAGAGAGGAGGAACAAGGCATAAAGGCAGCAGGGAACCAAAGTGGAACCCAGTTGGAGGACAGGAAAGCTCAAACGAAATGTTGCTACGTACTGAGGCCATCTTCCACAGAACAACAATACATTATATTACCTATACTATTATGTGTACTGTATAACGCTATTGATGGCTGACCGCCTATACATTATTCGAGTTGGTCAGCATTGTTTGCCTTACCGATATCATCACATCGGCCCTTCACCGCGCTCCACCAGCTCCACTGACCAGACAGTCCAATGAGATTTGAGCTAAATAAGATACATTGCTAGCGAAACCCCTTCCCAATATCGAATGAGCACACGGCGCGATCCCCCACTGTCGACAAACCACGTCCTCAGACGGCCAGTGCTTTCCTTCATGTTGCGGGTCCTTGTCGTCTGCTTTAGCTTGTGTTGCTGTTGTTGTTGTTGTAGGTGGTTGTTTGTTGTCTTCGTGTGTTACATTGGTGCTGTGGCTCCTGCCGCAGTTTCGTGTGTCATGCAGGACTAGTCGTGGCAGTAGTAGCACCTCACAGGACCATTGTCTTTATTAGGTGCGTTGTCATTGGCTCGTTGGTTTGCTCGCTCGTAATTGTGTTTGACTGTAGATACGGAAATCGAGAGGGAAAAGGAAAGAAAAAGAAAGACCAAGAGTCAAAGAGATGGGGACAAAAAGAGTCCAGGAGGAAAGGAACGGCAAAAAAAGTGAGTCGACCGGAGAGTTTCGCGGTTGGGGAGAAGAGAGGGCCAAATGGGGTAAAAGAACTGATTATTGACATTCATTGGTTTCATTGTGCGGGTAGTAGCACCGTCGCCACTCCCCACACCCATTCTTGCACAGGATCGGTTGTTGTCAATGTAATAGTTGTTGTCGTTGTCTTCGTCAACGAGAGCATCTACATATCTGCTTACTTAAGAGACACATAATACACAAAGGACGTGGAGCCAAGAAGGAAGATGGGAAGTTTCGGGTTGTAACTAAGCAGACACGCAGATTGCACAAGTAAGCAACAGTTTAGGGTAAAATAAGGAAGAGAGAGAAATACACACAGAGACCAGCTACTTGACCAGCTATGTAATAACTATTATTGAAGCTTGCCGATTATGGTTTAACACAGGTGAAGTTCGATAGGTGGTCATTGTTATCGTAGACGTCGACGATGTCATATTAACATCGATTTATGTCATGAATGGCTGTCGGATTGCTTGGTCGATATAAAGATCTTGGTTTTTGCCTGTCACTAATTGAACTAACAAATTAAACTTTTTTTTTTTATGGGTATTGTCAACAAGAAGAAACGTAATGCGGTTAGTGATTTCATAGAGCTAAACGAAACGTTAGTAGTTGTTTCTACAGGTAGACTGAAAAAGGACGGGACCTTTGTTCAGCGACCGACAATTCGAGTGAATTAAGGGGCACAAGTTGGACCATAATGGTTTGTCAGACCTGATGTTAGTCGTAATCAAACATCGCTAGACATACAATTCTTGCTGCTAAGAAAGCTTACGAATCATCTGACGCAGTGCTTCTCTGAAGTAACAGAAGACGTAGAACTTGCAACGTTCATGTGATCAGAGCTTTGATACGCCACTATGTGCCGTTTGATGTTAAGCATGTGCTATGTGTATGACGGGCACGTCGTGTATAGTATACGTTGTGCACGGACGGTGATAACATGCACCAACGGAGTTAGCTGGGCTGGCTATTTATTTGTCCACTTCGGCATGGATAATCAACCAAACAAAAGCACCTAATCGTTTTGTCAAACGATAGCGTCTAGTAGTCAGTGGAGTCCGTATTGGGCTCCCTCTATAGGTTCGTAAAGACGCTCATTTGCATGACTTACACACGACTATACCATATTACTAATATTCTTCTTATATATATATATACACACTCATAACTTCTACCATATTATAGTAAATGTTATTATTTTTCCTAATAACACTGCATGAGCTCCATATTCGTTACAAGACCTATACTGTATACGCAGTATTACGCACGCGAACGACGATCATCACGTGCAAATAAATCTAACTAAAAGAAATTACCGCTGGCCAATAGAACGATTGGAATTGGACTAGCCCAAGCCAAGTGGAAGAGAGGCTCGTACACGATTTTATTGTTGTCGTTCACTGGCAGCTTTAGCAGCAGCGGTAGTTGTACCCCCACAGCCAGCGTTGTCGTTGTTACCGTTTTCCATTAAAACTGTGTGAGAGCCCAACGGCAATGTGCCGCTAGAACAAACTACCTAAAAAGATGTACAGGGGAACTGGCACCGGAGGGAGAAAAAGCGCAGGATGCCCTCTGCAACTTTCGACGCGGTAGTGACGCGCGGTAGCGAAATCCTTGGCGGGTAGAAAGGGCATCGGCTAGTCCGTCAGTCAGTCCGTTGCATGGTAGCAGCATCAAAGACAGCAGCAGCAGCGCCAGTGATCGTGCACTAGCGTTCTCTGCTTCTGTATAACAGAGCCGGCTCTGGCAAAGGAGAGCGAGAGGAGCCAACGATAAACGGACGAGGCTCGACGCACGAACGGCTGAGCGGACGGAAGAACGTAGACGCGATGTGTAGTGGACTGCTCCAGAGGTTTTTAGAAGAAGAGAATCGAAAAAAGAAGCGCCCCGTCCATGCATCCCTTATACAACGGGGTCTCGTTGTAAAGCGCGTTTATTGGGCGCGTTAAGAAAGAAAAGAACAAGGGGAGGGGTAGAAAACGGGCAAGCCGACCAAAGCGGAGGGCCCACAGTGGTGGTGCCGGCAAAGGCAATTCAAAGCCCCGTACCCCCTGCTGCGTGGTTCCCGCCGTTGCTGCTGCTGCTGCTGCTACCGCCGCCGCTGCCAACCCCTTGGCCGCCACAGCGGCCGCCACTCCGGCCGCCTTACCCTATTCCTTCCTCCAGCCAGTACAGGCATGCGGCATTCGGCAGCACTCTTCCCGAAGACTCATATACGTCTCACTCCCTTCTACAAGCACTCGGCGATAGCAGCGTGCGCCAAACGATGGACAGTTCCACGATGAACGCACTCGATACGCGCGCTGTTAGCGTAGCACACGTCCTCCAACAACAACAGTAGCACCGTTCGCGGCAGCAGAACTGCTGGTGCTGGTAATACTATATAACAGCACCAGCGCTCGACTTACGAATCGAGACAGCAGGCCGACAGACGAAGATCAGGAGATAGGCGGGTGGCTACTATACGAATCTATGCGATGGCCTGTACTGCCTCGTAGAGATTCGTGAGGCATCCACTAGGGGGCGTATTGCGCGCTGCATGTGAATGCCGACGGCTAAGTTACCCTCTCCCGCGAATCGCCCATTGCGCGCTGCCGCTGTTACCCCTGTCTTTGCCCCTATCCCCGCTGCCTCCTCTTCTGCTTGTGTTTGCGTCCTATGACGGCCTTAGCGAGGCAGCGGCAGCGGCGGCGGCCGCTGCCCGCGGCAGCGGCGACGGCAGCACCGAGGAGATGCCCCCACAGAACCTCTCGTTGCCTACCGTCCAGCAGCTGCTTTAGACTGCTAACCTATGCTGGTTGCATGGTTGCCACGAATGCTCCCTGTCTCACTCTGCCCCCTTTTCCAACCATACAGGTGCTGATGGTAACCCTAGTGGTGGTTCGGCCGCCGTCACCGTCGACGTTGCCGTCGTCATGCTCTCGGTGCTGCCCGTTTTGGGGATGCCGTTTGCCCATTCTGTCCCCCTCTCCCTGTCTCGGACTGACTGTGTCTGTATATAGGTGGGTGTACGAGCAGCCAGCATAACGTTGTAAAGTTGTGTGTGTAACTGATGTTTGAGATTGGATGCGTGCGTAGTCGTCAGCCGATCGTTTGGATGCTGCCTGCCTGCCTACCGCCTGCGAAGCCCCCTTGCAAAAGTCTGCGTTTTCCTGCTACGTCTGCCTGTGCTGCAAACAGCGGCAGCATCAAGAGCCTCAACCTCCTTAGCCGCAGGCCCAGCAGCATTGGCCTGCTGTTCCACCGGCGCCTGCTTGAGGAGCCTACCGCGGGTGCTGCTCGCTGCTGATGGTGGTGGGTCGTCTACCCTACTACTAGTACTATTGCTGCTGTTGCTGCTGCTGGTAGCTCTCCGCCGCTGCCTCAGCTTCGGCCCGCTGCCGCGCTGGTGGTGCTGCTGCCGCTTCTGCGCCTACTCCAGCAGCCTGCTTGCCTGCTTATGTATGGTCGCTCCTAGCGCTTCCTCCACGTTCCCTCCATTTTTGACTATCGCCTCTCCCTCACGAGGAGCGCGGAGCACCGGAGCACGGAGCAGCAGCACCCGCAGGGACGACGGAGTCAGTCGACGGGTCGAGCGAGCTAGCGAACAGCGAACAGCCCGCGCTCAGTTGCTCAGTGAGAGTCCACGCGAGTCCCGGAGAGCACGCGGCGCGCTCCAAGACGAAACCACGACCAACGTGCTTAGCCAGACAAGAGAACTACCCATAGTCGTCGCTCGGTCGCTCGCTCTGTGGCTGCTCCCCGGCGCTTCCATACCCACCACTATACACGAGTAGTGGTTGCGGTGCTCCATCGAACGGTGCGGTCCCCCATTGCTCGTTGTAGTAGTAGTAATAGTCGTAGTGGTAACAATCGAATACTCGCGACAACGTTGCGATGGTGAGAGCTTTAATGCCGGATTGATCGGCCAGTCAGTCAACGAACGTGTGGAAACGGCGAAGTGCGCCGTGTCCTTACCGAAGGGCAGAAGCCAGAAGAACGAAAATTGTGTGAACGACTCCGAGATGCCGCTACTGGGTTCGTTGATTCGTGGCCTAGCTGATCGGTTACCTCTAGCGTTGAATGGAACACGACGAGTTAAGCGAGATGTCGACACGATTGAAGGAGGCGACTGTTGTCAACCTGTGTACAGCATCGTGTAGATCCGGCTGGCGCGCTACATAGGCAGGTGTACCCCTGCTGCTGCTGTTTTTGTTGCTGTTGTGCTTTTTGTGAAAGTGTGCTGGTGTACATATTGACGGAAGACAGCAGCTGGTGGCGGTGGGGCAAATGGTTGGAAGAGCTTTCTTATTCTTTCGATAATATCTCGAGTCAGTGAGTGGGTGGGAGAGAGAGCGAGAGAGCGAGGGGAGCAAAGAACGTGCAATTACTTCAGGAACTGCTGCCATGAGGTGATCGCAGAAAAGGAAGAAGACAACGAAGAAGACAGGAAATTCACCACCTGTGGTCGTGCGTTAGGGGGGGGGTGAATCGTTATGGGTGTGCATGTGGCGCGCATGTGTGCAACGTGTGCATGAATATGCAGTGTCACTGCGGGTGAAGGCGTTTTGTGATCGTGTTGGTTCTTTTTTTGTTTTGTTCAGTGTATGATTGCCCCAAACGACGGCACACAGTTCGTGTTGCCCTACACTGAGAATCCGGTAGCGATACTGAGGGAATTTGAGGTTTGGTTTGTTCGGAACAACATCGACTCCGCTGACATTTCCAGCTGCAACAGTGGTAACGTCAATAACAATTGTCGCTCATCATAAACAACAACAACAAGCATTATTGCTATTATTGTTAAAATACCACTACAACAGCTGCAGCAGTCAGTATAATTTAAAAGACATCAAGGTGTCAGTGTTGGCTTCTTCTGAAGATCGCGCTTGATGATGACTCCGCCGGCACTGAATCCGACGACCAACTCATGTTTATAATTAACGGCGCCAGTTGACAATGGAGATGAGATGTACAACGGTGTGCATAATAGTCGATGTGTTGTACCTGTAACTGTGATACATAATAGTCTACCTATTGAAGTGTACATATTCATCGTTAAATCTTCCCCCCCCTTGGCACTATCGATCCCCTTCGGCTCTTACACGACTCTTACTATTATTATTTTTATTATCCCTTTTACATTTATATAGTCAGGTGACACTTCACCACTGATCGACGAGATTGATCTGTATCCCTTCGAATACAGAATAAGACAGAGTAGAATCAAGTAAATTTAGCGTGATCAGTAAAACGTACGCGAAAAGAAGGACACAGAAGACTACGTCATCCATCAGCAACGTCCACAGCTGCCACCATCAACTCCTTCGAAAACGGACCGGTGAACTGTGCTCTTATGATCGAGCTGGAATTATTCGTAAGTCGTAGTTTTATTGTGCAACAATAATCAAAGTAATAATAATAACAACTACGATAGTAATTATAAATTGTGTAAGTTCTTGCAGAAACGCTGAAAAGCAGCTGTAGATCTATCGATAAATCTCTGTGCCACACAAATAACAGGATTGCTATAAACAGCGTAAAAGAAACGAGATTTCGATGGAACCGTTCTCGTATTTGTGTTCTATTACACGAAACGTGGTTAACAAGACTGGGCGAAGGCAGCGCCAGCAGCAAAAACGGTTACGGGCTGAGAAGCATGCCTCACAACAACTCATGAGTCTTTCCCAGGAGTTCTGCTGACAAACAGAACATACGCACCGCGCGGTCTGCGTGATGCTTGGACGCGAAAAGGGAAATCGACAAAATAGGTCTCCTGTTGGAAGGCCTGCGGCTGTTGGCGGTCACCCGCTGCTGATGCCGTGCGTGTCTTATCCGATCTCCCGTGGTGTATGGCTTGACTGGCAAGTTGATCTTCTTTCGATCTGTCGAAAGCGTTTGACACTGCTAGGATAGACGTTCGGACAAGCAGGCCCTAGGTACGTCGAACAAGCCTACGTAGACCGCGCTGCTAACTGAGCGGCAGTTGCAATTGCGTACAAACTTAGATCTTGCGGTTTGTTTCCATATTTTTCTAGATAGCATTAGAAATCTGCTTGGAGTCAGCTGAAACACAAAACAGCTACGGATCCAATTTGTATGATACAAAGTGTATACCTCTAATTAGAGGGTAGTAGTTTAAGATTGGGAACTAGATCAAGATATGATCATAATGAACACATATGAAACATAATGACCGGATATGACGAGTTGAAAATTGGGCTCCCAGCTATGCCATAGTGATACGAAAGGAGCAATGATTCCGTTGACAACGGATTTCCAATGGCACATCTAGTACAGTAAAAGGTAAACCAGTCACAGTCAGGCAAATCATTACTAAAATTCTGCAAGTACATCATAATCGGCTGAATCACTACAAACTTTATCCCTTTTTATAGTATAATTTGTCTCGTCGACGCTATTTGACCTCTATTGAACTATTGCAATTATGATCTAGCGAACATGATTTCGTCAGAGCATCACCAGTTAGCTATAAGCACATTTAGTTCGTCGGATTAATAAGTATACAAAACCGATTGCCCTTAGATCCGACATTGCCTTAGCATTTTCAGACGTCTACATATACCAACGTAACCATATTACTTATCTTGACACTCGTGTTCACCTACAATGAAGACTAAACATCTGTAGCTCTCACTGCTAGATGTTGTTGGTATTATCTTTGTTCACTCTGCCCCCGCCACTAGCTTAACGGCTCAGTAGTGGTGGTTTACCCCACAATGGTCGTCAACAGCTCAGTTTTGTGTTATACAATATATTATAGCACGTTAGTCCAATATCTGTACCGCTCATTGTCGGCCACATGAGCGCTCAGCCGTTCGCGCATGGACTCGATGGACGGCTCAGACCGTAGCGGCGGCGCCCCGGTGGCAACCGCCGGCTGCACCAGAGCGATGATGACTCCGCTTAGCCGCTGTCAATCCTGTTTTAGCTCAACTGCTACTGTTCGCTCAGCGGCCGCGACTCAACCGATCCGGTCCCCGGCGCTCCAAGTCCAACCCTCTCGGGGCGGGCTTTCGTTCTCCTCCTCCGTTGTCCCTGGATCCCGTGTTGGTGGTGGTGGTGGTGATGGTGGTGGTAGGGGGTATGCGCGCGGCGCGCCTGTGCATAGGCACAGCCGGAGCACCGGAGCGCCACCGGAGCCCTATGTTATGGTGGCTCCGTTTGCGCATATGCACCAACCCCCAACAGGCTTTCTCCGGACGCCCCGACCCCGGCTCTGCAGCGGCGCCGCGCCGGAGCGCAGGCAACAGCGGCCAGGAAGCAGCGGTCGGCGCCAAGGGGCCGTCCTCATTGGGGCCCTCGCCAGTGAACCTCCCTGTCTATGAGTTGCAGTCGAGCGCCGGTAGTCTCTGAGGGCTGCGAGCGCCGTTGAGCAACCAAACAGCCACTGGCGCCCTCTGGCGAGCCGGCCTGCTTGCATATTCCAGCAGTGGGCGCAAAGGAATGAGAAGAGAAATTAGAGAGAGAAAAGAGAACTCCAGCTTGAAAAACTCCGAATTCGAATTCCTACCAGGGGGAAGCGCGGGGAGGGGGAAGCGTGAGGCACGAAGGGGGCTCGAGCGCCTGTAGGAGCTTACTTGTGGTCAACTGCTTGTCTTTTTCACAAAACACAGACAGGAAGGCAACCACGAGCGGAGAGTTAGCTAACAAACCTTTGAACCGGATTGACATACACCGACACGAATAAAATGGGACATCTGCATTTATAAGGATAACACGTCCCATTGGCGAAACGTCCAAAATCGTTCTCCATTTATCTGTCTATTACTCTGTCCCGTTTTCACCCCAGAACGTCTCAACATTTCAGATCGCTTCGAGAACTTTTAGTGACCTGCGAGGCATCGCAAAGCTTCATACTTAATTGCATACGCCCATCTGCTGATCACGAAGTGTATATCATCTAATGTTGTATTACTGGTCAGCTACATATTCTGTGTACACTGGTCTATGACGCTTGCTTGTGATCGCTATCCTTTCTAACAGAGCGCTGTATGTCGTATGGCAGTTCTGTGCATATATAGGCATAGTCTCCTCTACGGATCCGTGCAGATCGCTTGGTATCCTCTGGTTCCATCATTGCGGCGTTATACTTGGCGCGGAAGTTAGTGCAGGAGCTCCTGACAGCTCTGCTCAGGAGTATTAGACGTCTCCTCGCAGTCGGAAGCCGAAAACCGACTTGGACGATAGTTTGCTCCAGGAAACTCTCGTCCTTTATGCCCATCGCTTGCCACGCGTTTTTAACGCAGGATTGATTTTATGCGCAGAATGAGGACACGCACACTCTCTCGAGAATTGGTCATCTATAAAGCATTCATAATTCATAATGTGAAATCAATGCGTGGTCTTAGTTGTTGTCTAAACCGCATCGGGCTGCCATTTACTTTGATGCTGTTCGGTTTTAGCGCTGTCATCGTACCACCGTATGACCAGTCACGTATGACTAGCTCAGAGACACGTTTTTATAAGTTAGCCATTGATGTTTTCGGCGTAGTCGTTTGTTATTGCGACCCCTACTTATTTTACCTCATCACTTTACACATGTGATACATACAAATATCTAAGAAACAAATAAGAACCTAATTTCTGGAGAAACTTTGTCGTGTGGGTAGACGTCTGAGTAGAAAATGTTTAAATCTTTCGACGAGATCTTCCTCCACAGGACGCGAAATTGGGATCATAACAGGGGCGATTGCGGCGCTGTGAGCCGAGCATGCCAAACTTACGCCATTAGAAATCGACAGCGTCGGACGACCATTGCGAAGCGCCGTCGCTGCGAAAAAGATGAGAAGTTCGATATCTGGAAACGAAGTTTGGAGCTGGGTCTGGGTACTACGCGAGGGGGCAACACGCACTGCGAATATTTTATGAAGCCCTCACTTTAACCGATGCGCGGGCTTAGTCTCGACCGGGAACAAGGCTCCGCCCTCGAAAAGCTTAGATAGCTTTTGGTGATAGAACGACCGAGAGCTTGATGGAGGGGCATGATATAACGTTAAAAGTTTGCTATACATCGTATAGCTGGTCTTTTAGGTGGCGGTAAGCGAGCTAATGAAACGGGTTGCACACTGTTGAGACCCACCTCATGCATTTTTTTTGTTGAAAAATACGTCGTAAAAGAAAACGCACCAGCTTTGTAGAAGCAATTGTACGAATAATATCGTAGGCGACAAACTCCGCAGTTAGAAATTGTTTCAGTAGCACAAAGTTTGTTGGCTAGAATACTTAACCAATTTATTTCTAATATACAATGTACAATCGTCCGCTATAGCAGACGAAACTCTAACTGATTGTTGATGTAGTTGTTAAAGCTAACTGAGCAAAGAGGTAGTTGTTGAGTACTTTCTGCTGTTAAGAGAGTGAGTGGCGCACTCAGTGCTATACAATGTTAAACGTCACTCTCAAATATGAATGCCTAGCACTTTCATCCGTAACCCCCTAGCATTCGTCGTTTTACACATATGCATACGGCGAACCACTGGGGGTCAGATGAAATTACGATATGTTGACGCTTAGCTAATAATTCCGTATTCCTGCCTATACATAGGTCCGAACGGTCTACAGATGTACATACATATATAACATACATGTACGTTATCTGTACATATATTATATACGACAACGATGGAGCGCGTTTAACAGTTTCGTATCAGGTGGTGACTAGACGCACGTCAGGACTGAAGCAGTATGTGATATAATACCACCAAGACGAAGTTTCTCTAGAATGAAAACGAAGAAGAGGCTTGTTTCCGTTAGTGTCGATGAAATTCATGAGTTCAGTCAATGGCAACGGCAGATTGCAACTGATGGTAATGACGAGGTCGGCGTTTGCCGTTGGATCGATTTCGACGGCGATGATAATGACGACGACCTCGACAAGGAAAGTCTTTCCACCGATCGACTTTGTTTAGTGCGGACTGCAATGAAGATGCCAATGGCCGTGTCCCCCGGACCCAGGGCGACTGACGTTACTGGCATAGCCTGTTATTGCCGCCTATTCGATGCTATTGTTACTGGTTGCGTTCACTTTCGAGTAGCACCAGCGGTGGTTGGTAGTCATAAATCCAGTAAATACATCGCTTAATGCTTTTGGCATTATTGCAGCGTCACTTAGAATTGCCTTTAGGTCAGTCCACAGCCGGATGGTCGTGCGGTCTATAGTAAGAATAACAACAATGACGACTCTAACAACAGAGACTGTTGAAGGAGCAGCAGAATCGCGTTTGGGAGATCCAAGCTGGACCTATAGGCCATGGTTTTTAATCTCCACGACATCGTATCAGATTAACGGCTAAATAGGATCGCTCGCCGAGTCGTAAGGATTGCGTTCGATAGCGACCCGGTATGAGAGTGATG